TTGTGATTGAGCAATTCCAGCTTCGAGTGAACAGTCTTGATGAAACCCATCGTCATTGTGTGCCTTGGAAAGAGTTTTCTGAAGCATCTTCTTGGACAGCTCTCCTGGTGCTGCTTCTCTTGTGCCACTTGTCAGTCCCTTGGAGGAAAGTGCTCAGTACACAGCCCTTGCTTGTCTGCTGGTGGTTACTTTTGGAAGTCTGTGTGCAAGAAAGAGAGTTGTTGGTAAATAGTTGCTAATCTAGGTTGTGTTCCTGTGGTGTCTGAATTTAAATTTGAAGGCCTGGAAACTGCAGAACCTAAAGAATGGGTCCAGGCTAGTAAGTTATACATAGGTTGTATAGGTACTGTCACTTTCTCTGTATGTTCCTACAAGATTCCTTGCATTAATGAAGTAAGTTGGCAGACATCTCTGTCTTTCAATTTCTTCTAGCAACCTTTGGAAACATCAAAAATTACTGTCAATTGACCTTGATAAAGTGGCACTGCCAAGTTTTCGACAGAACCGACCCCAAGTGAGACCATTGTCCCCCGGAGAAAGTGGAGCATGGGACATTCCTGGAGGTAAATATTGAAAAGTTTGAAAGTTGCTGGTTTGGTTTTGCTTTTTGCATAAGCTTTGGAAAAAATGCAAAACACAGCGCAGCCATATGAGAGGCCACTCTTTATTTTCAGTTGTGAAAAACATGCATATAATAGTATGGCTGTATTATCAAAGGCTGTCTGATGAAGATTTTTTTTTTTTTTGTATATGAATAGTTTGTTGAATAGAAAGTGTGCATGATATACTCAGAGGAAGATCTTGGTGGGTGCATTTTGATAGTTGAGGTTTGTTTGGATGCTGTTCAGTCTGATGGGTCAGCAGCAGACCCTGTCCTTGGGAGCTGTGACCACATACCCACTGCTAATTAAAATTCCTTCTGTGAGTGCACAAAAGCAGAGTCCAGAAGAATTTTGTCAGAATGGTGCCTTGGGCAAGCTGTTACACTAACAAATGATGTCTAGCACTCAGAACAGCTTTCAGGTGGGCAGCTCTCCTTCACAAGATTGGCATTGCAGGCTGAGCTGGAAGCAGTTGGAAAGCCTCATATGTGTTCTTTTCCCAGTCTGAGCTGCTATACCAGAGACACCTGTAAAATGAAGGGTTTGTTTCTCTAGCTCATCCTCACTGTTTGCACAGTCTCTGGAGCAAGCAAGCATGAAATCACTTTCCTCGTTCCGTGAGGATTTGAATTACAGCAATTGCTTAGTACTAAGATTATGGTCAAGTGTCTCCATCTCTCTTCTGATGCAAAACAGAAGACTGTTGTTACAGGGGAAATCTGGGCTATGCTTTCATGTGCCCGAATAGGTCAAGGTGGAAATGCTGGTGCTTTCCTGTAACGTTAGCATCCCATCTGATTTTCACTAATCGGTCTGCAGCTGTTAATCTTCCTGTCTGAAATGTAATCTGATTAATGGCTGCCTGGGCTTTGAACAAGAGTTAGGGGCAGATCCTTCTGCTAGATGGCATTAGCACCACAAAGCCATCGTGGCTCACGTGGTAACTGCTGCCTTCCAAACCTCTTTGCCTCTCTAGGTATAATGCCGGGCCGGTACAACCAGGATGTGGGACAGACCATTCCTGTCTTTGCCTTTCTCGGTGCCATGGTGGTCCTGGCGTTCTTTGTGGTGCAGATCAACAAAGCCAAGAGCAGGCCAAAGAGACGGAAACCGCGCGTGAAACGGCCGCAGCTGATGCAGCAGGTTCATCCACCAAAGACACCTTCTGTGTGAAAGCTCTGCCTTGCCAAAGATGACCTCCTGTGACTGCTTGCTTTCCAGGCCGATGGATCCAGTGGAGGTGCAGTGAGTGTGCACCTGACATCATCTCATAGTCTTTGGTTTGTGGAGAGAAAAAAAGAACCTCAGCTGATCATCTGTACATAAAACTGCAGCTTTAAGCAGCTGAAGCCACCAAAGACTTGAATACTGTTTAAATGGCTGCTTAGTCACTACATATCCCAAGAGGGGGAAAATGGACCTTTTTTTTAAGCTGACCAAACTAAAATTTATTTGTTTAGAGGCTATTTTCTATATTTATTGTTGGGGAGGGCGGGGGAAAAGTCACTTTAAGGACCTCTGCTAAGGAAAAACAAGTGCATTTTTTTGGATGGAATGCAATTTTCTAGAATGGTTCTATGCTGAAGAGTATAATGTACACCATTAAAGGAGGAAGGGACTGAGAGAGACCAGTACAAATCAGTGAGACATACTCCTGCAGTTTATTTTTATAAAGCCAACTACCATGATGTTTTGTAATTTTTGGTCACGATTTCACCGTTGTTGGTGAAGCAGATTTTTCAATAAATATGTTATCTATATGAAGCAAAGACAGTGTGCTAAGTGGCTCTTCTTTCCACTTGCAGTCAAAGAGAGCAAATTGCTGGGTAGAGAAGATTTTCATGTCTCCTCTCTTCCCACCATATCTTTGTCCTTACCAGCGGTATCCCAAGTTGCAGACTTTCCTTTGGAGCACTAATTGGACAGTCATACAAACAGTGCTTGCTCTGAGTGAGCACAGAGTTCTGGAAACCTTCAAAACTCTGCAGCACATTATAAGGAGAGAGCTCTTGAAGAGCTGTATAGAAAACTGTCATGGGAATGGCACCTAGCAGCACTATGTGGTGTCACAGAGATGAAAACCCAGTCTCCTTTGGTTTGTCCTGCTTGAAAGCCTGTGAATTGTCACTGGCTTAAATAAGGATGCAGGCACAAGTTTCCCCTGTCCATGCAGTGCCAGTTAATGTTGCCATAATTGAAATAGCTTCTCTCTTTTCTAGTGAAGCTGAGCTTCTCCCTGCCAACTGCTTTCATCATTGCTCCAGATGAGCACTGTTTCCTAGGAGCCAGGAGCTGGTGGCTGCCTGTATTTGTGAATGGAATGGCAGCCTGGGCAGGTAAGCAGTGTGCACTGGTGAATGGTCCTGGGTGAGTTCGTGGGCAGCTCTGGGCATGGCTGGAGAAGGAGGAGGCAGGGACAGCCCTGCTGGGCAGTCTGGCTGCACCCATCCTCTTAGGGCTTACCAGCAGGGATGGGGGTGGGCTGTGGGAAGTGCACTGCAGGAGAGAACTTTGCATCATGTAGTCCTGGAGCCATGGATAAGGTTTGTGAGTGTCCTGCAAAAAAGATTGGGCAAACCAATTTTCCCTAACTTGAAGAGTGGTTGCCTTTTCCCAGCATTTTTCCTCTGGAGGATGCACTGGGAAAGGCAACATTCTGTTGCCATGGCAGAGAAGGCACTGAGCTTTTTCTTTGGAGCTGTTAGTGGAAGCTTGTTATGGCTGAGAAGATGGTCCCAAGGCTGGGCTTGTGCCATCCCAGTGGGGCTGGAACCTCTTGCTCCTTCCTTTCTGAACATAGATCCGTAATGATAGGGAGGGGGTTTTCAGCATCTCAGTTGTGACATATGGGTGAGGACCATCATAGGACCAGCCAGCAGCAGCTGTGCAACTTGTCCAGGTTGTAAAAAATCAATCAGTAAAGGCATGAAATCTCAGGGGAAAACCCTCAGAGAAGGGATTGCAGGTAGCAAAACACAAGTGTGATCAGTGTTTTTATTTGAATGAAACAAGGACTGTCCATTTGCATTTTTGTACCTTCTACAGTCTTCAAAGATATTAATGTGGAAAACATTAACAGCCTTTTTTCCACTTGCCACGGGGACCCAGCAGCAGGTAAAGCTGCCAACCCACAGGGACCCTCAGGTTATGGCTTGCAGCCCAGGGGCTGGAGCACCCAGATAAATGTGAGAAAGGGAGGAAAGAGTCACTGATGGAGCCCAGAGTCACTGGGCAAAGAAGCTGTCTGGGGCTGCTGTGCTGGTGTGGGAGATGAGCTGCACCCCTCTGGTTTGAGGTGCACCTCTTCCATCAGAGGGAGACTGGAAAGCTTTGGTGCCACTTCTCAGGTCGGTTCTAATGAGGAGACTTGCTCCTCATCACAGCAGTAATGAGAGATTAGAGCTCCACTGCAGCCTTGAAACCAGAATCAAGCAGTATCAAAGCACCAGTCTGAATTAAGAGCCTTTCCCAGTGGCTGGTATTTTACAGCCCAGTGGCCAATTTCTAAGTCGCAGAGGCCAATTATTTCTGAAGCCTTTGGTGTGCAGCTAATGAAGGCTTGGAAGGACCCTTCTAAGTGTTTATAAGCCCTGTAGGCGGCAGAGATGTAATGGAGGTGGCAGGCACAATTAGCCATCCATAATTCCTCCTAGCAGCTGATTAAAGTATCTTTATCCATCTTACTAAGATCAGAAGGGCGCATATTTGGGAAATCAAAAATGCATTAGGGGCTGTCACCCAACGCCAGGGCCTGTGTGCTGAGCCCTGGGGCAGTGGCATGTGGCAGGAGTGGCACAGAGCTGCTGTGTGTCCCCCGTGCCGGGAATGGGCCCCTCATTCCTGTGAGGTGCAGCCTCCTCTGTGCAGGTCCTCTGCAGCATCAGTCACCCCATCCTGGTATCCTGGCATCCCCTCTGCCTGTGTGGAGCAAGGAGTGGGATGGGATGGCTCCTCTCCACAGTCTCCCAGTGCACGAAAGCACCAGTGGGCTTTTAGCTCTTTCGGAGACATGCAGGGGTGCCGGCCTCATCCTGCACCCAACGAGTTATGAGGGGTGTGAGCTGCAGCCGCTTTCCTTCACCCTTCCCGGGGCACTCCGTAATGCCCCTTGGCGGCACTTTCACGCCCGGGTGAACAGAGCAGGATGAGGGTGGCCTCAGTCCGCCCAGCCCTGTGGTGATAATTTCGGGGATAGTGAGAGTACGAGCCCCCAGCCCAGCTCCCCCCTGCTGGGAGCTGGAGGGGCGGCTGTGCTCCGTCGGAGCGCTCTGAGGGCCGGGGGCGCCGCGCGGGGCTGTGAGCAGGACGGGGCTGTCCGTGGGTGAGCTCCTGCCGGGGCTTCCCACGGCCGCCTCCCGCCCGCCCCCGGGCGGAGGGGCCGCGCTCCGCGCCCGCCCGGCCACAGCCCTGCCGGGATGGAGCGGGCGGCGGGCGAGGGCCGGCCCCTGCTGCCGGCGGCGGGGGGCTCCGCCGCGCTCTCCTCGCCCGGGCTCTCCTCCGCCGGCGCCGTCTTCATCCTGCTCAAGTCTGCGCTCGGCGCGGGGCTGCTGAGCTTCCCCTGGGCCTTCGGCAGGGCCGGCGGGGCCGTTCCCGCCCTCCTGGTGGAGCTGGTAAGGGCGGACTCGGGGCGGGGGACGCGGGGGCGAGGGGCTGCGGCAGCCCCAGAGGGAGCCGAGGGGCGCCGGTCCGGGGAGGGAGCGGAGGGAGAGGACGCACCTGCTCCGGTGCTCGGGGAGCTGGCGGGCACCCCCTCCGTACGGCACCCCCGTCCCGACCCCCGATACGTCCTTTGGTAGGTGTTGCGGTGCCTCCTGAGGGATGCTCCTTGCAGCTGAAGCCACGCTTGTAGCTGGCTTGTAGCTCAACTCATAGTAAATGGGTGCCTGCTCCCGTACATGCCCCCAGACCCCAAATCTAAACCCAAAGTACCACATAAGGCTGTATCTCCATCCTTTTGCTGACCTTTGTTACCCAGGCCCACAGGATGATCTGGCCAGTAGCCTGGTCCCTGTCCGTGGGCCTGCTGTGTCCTGTCCTGCTCTGGGGGTGATGGAGGGTCGGTGCTTTTGCTGGCTGTGTCCCCGCAGGGCTCGCTGGTGTTCCTGGTGAGCGGGCTGGCGGTGCTGGGCTATGCTGCGGCCCTCAGCGCCCAGCCCACCTACCAGGGCGTGGTGCGGGCCGTGTGCGGCGCAGCCGTGGGGAAGCTCTGTGAGGTCTGCTTCCTCCTCAACCTCTTCATGATCTCCGTGGCCCTCCTCAGGGTGGTGGGCGACCAGCTGGAGAAACGTGAGTTGTTTCCCCTCACTGTGTTTGGGGCTTGTTTAGGGCCGGCAGCTCTCAGGAGTGAGGGGAAGGTGCTCCCATGTGGGTTGGGGTTACCCCCAGGGTTTTCCTGGAAATTCTGGAGACATGGGGCTCCCTGGTTCTGCCATGGTGTGATGCTCCCGACGTCCTTGGGCCATCTTTCAGGGTGCAGCTGACCTTCCACTGTCCCCTACAGTGTGTGACTCCCTGTACCCCAATGGGACACTGAGTGGGGCTCCTCAGCTGCCCCCCTGGTACGTGGACCAGCGCTTCACCCTCTCAGCTCTCTGTGTCCTCGTCATCTTCCCACTCTCTGTCCCCAGGGAGATCGGCTTCCAGAAGTACTCCAGGTACCACCTGGGCTATCCCTGTGGTGGCCCACCCCTAGGCACCCTGTACCCGAGGTTATCTCCTCCCAGGAACCTGTGGGGCTGTGGGAACCCCCCTACTCCCTTCCTCCTGGCTGTGTGCTGATGCTCTCCCATGCCCTGACAGCATCCTGGGCACGCTGGCTGCCTGCTACCTCACTCTGGTCGTCATCCTGAAATACTACCTGCAGGCAGAGAGCCTGCGCTTGACTGAGCCACCCCAGACCTCCAGGTAGGAGGGGCAGCCCCACGTCCCTCCTGCCTGAACGCCATGGCCTGAGCAGTGACATGGGGGCAGGGCTGGAGGTGGGGCAGGGGTGGCACGGGGCCCTGTGTGTGGTGGGGGTGAGCTGGGGACAACTCACAGTGTGTGGTAGTTCCCAGCCCCAGCTTTCACCCCAGCAACACCCCTTTCTCCCAGAATCACTGGGAAGGAGATTCCCATGGGGTGCCATCCAGGCTGCACAGTTTATGGCATGAAGGTTTCTTCTCCATGAGAGCCTCATGCCCTTTGCTCTGTGCTTCCTCTCCACATGCCACAGGTCCTCATCCTGGACCTCCATCTTCAGTGTCATTCCCACCATCTGCTTTGGCTTCCAGGTAGGTCACCCTGGCCCCTCTGGCTGCAGCTGCCAGGGCAGTGCTGGCAGCCCCCCATGGTGCCCCAGACCATGGGGATGCTGTCCCTTGAAGGGCAGGTTGCAGGAAAGGGGACCTGTGGCTGTCACCAGAGGTGCTATGAGGCCTGGGAATGAGGCAGAGTGGGACAGGGCACCCGTAGGTGGGAGAGAGGATGCTGGGGGTGGGGGCTGTCCCTGCATGGGGCCCCAGCACCATCCCCCCTTGCCTTGCAGTGCCACGAGGCATGTGTGGCCATCTACAGCAGCATGCGCAACCAGAGCTTCTCCCACTGGGTCACCGTCTCTGTGCTCTCCATGCTCATTTGCCTGCTCATCTACTCCCTCACTGGTAACCCCAGCACCAAACCCTTCACTCCTCCTTGCCCTGGGGGTCCCCTCTCCCCTTGGTTCATCCATCCTCCTCAGAATTCCTCTGTCCTGCTCACTGCACAGCTGCCCACCCCCACCTCCCTGTCAGCAGGGCTCTATGGCTACCTGACCTTTGGTGAGGCCGTGGCGTCCGATGTCCTGATGTCCTACCCAGGGAATGATCCACTTGTCATCGTCGCCCGCCTGCTCTTTGGCGTCTCCATTGTCACCATTTACCCCATTGTGGTGCTGCTGGGCAGGTGAGGGGAGTGGTGACAAGCCGGGTGTCCCCCGAGCTGATGCAGCTCCCCTGGGTGCCGTCAGCACCTGCAATCCTCCCTCCCAGATCCGTGGTGAAGGACTTGTGGGCAGCCCCGAAGCGCGGGGCCGTGGCAGTGCCTGGGGCACACGAGCGGCGGAGCCGGGTGGCACTGACGGTCACCTGGATGGCTGCCACGCTGGGCATCGCCCTGTTCGTCCCCGACATCGGCAAAGTCATCGAGCTCATCGGGGGCATCAGCGCCTTCTTCATCTTCATCTTCCCAGGCAAGAGCATCTTCCTTTTCCTCCCAGGGAGGGAGGAAAGCGGTGGGGGGACACTGGTGCCAAGGGCATTGCTGCAGGGGAAAGTGGCCTGTCCTGGCCCCGTTTTGGGGGTTCAGGGCTGGCTTGTGGGGGACAATGCAGTGAGGCTGGGTGAGGGGTGCTGTGTTGGGGCTGAGCTTCTGCACTGACAGCAGGGCTGTGCCTCGTGTGTGTGACTGGGACCCGCAGCCTTGGGCCACGCAAAAAGTGAGTGTCTGCGTGCTCAGCGGTGGTGGGGGCAAGGGAAGGGACAGGGCCAGGGCCAGGGTGAGGTATCCTATGGGCCGTGGCCAGCGCAGATTCCTGGGGATCACTCTGGTCAAGGTGGGAACCCTGCAAGGAGGGGAATTTGAGAGCCCCGAAGTGCTGTACTGGGGTTGTGCCTGGGAATGGTCTCTGTACCAGGGCTGTGTCCAGGCATCAAGGAGGTGCCCAGAGTGACTTTAGAGGCAGAAGAGCTGTGGGGCTTGGTGGCACTGGGGCACCTGGAGGGGACTGGGGTGGGGTCAGGTTGGGGGTCAGAGGGGCAGGGTGCCCCAAGACAGGAGGCCATCAGGTGTTTGGTGTCTGTTGTGCCGTGGTGGTGTGTCCCCATCACCGCTCCTGTCTGGAGGGGCTGGGGCACAGCAGCACCCATGTCAGGGGGACCTCACATGGTGTTGGTGAGTTTGGGATGTGTGCTTTAGCCTGTCTATGGTGCCCCTGGGGGAGCAGCAGAGTTTGAGGGAGGATGGAGATTATGAGGTGGGTGGAGGCAGCACCCCAGGACATTGGGGTCTTGGTCAGGAGGGTGCTCTGGGGACCGATGAACATCTGGGGAGGGTGAGGGTGTCCCAAAGGGTGCCAAAGTGCTGGAGAGGCCAAGGCAGAAGGTAAGCAGGAGCACCCACGTGGGTGACAAAGGCCTGGAGAGGTCCCTTGGGGAGACCTGCCAGAGCATGAGCCCATCATGAGGAGAAGGGATGACATGAGCTGGGGCGATGGAGACTGTGACGGGACAGTCCCAGCCTGCCCGGGACAGTCTGGGAAGGAGCACGGCGCTGAAGACTCTGCGGCAGAGCAGCAGCCGGGTTTGGGGTGAGTGCTGCGTCCCAGGGGCTTAGTATGGGGCGAGGTGGGCTGTGTGCCCCGGGAGGAGGGAATAGGGAGGTGCAGACCCAGGGCTCCGGGGATTGAGGCTGGAGCTGGGGAGGGGACAGGGCTGGAAGCATGTGGTGACAGGATGGAGCTGGGGCTGTGTGGGAGTGGCTGTGCCCGAGCACAGGATGGGGGGATGTGGTCTCAGCACCATCAGCAGGGCCACTGGGCACAGACAGAATTGGGAATGATAGCATGGTGGCATCTGCTGGGTTTTTGACCAAGGTTTGTGTGTCGTTGCAGTGGACAGGGGGGCTGCTGGGCTTTCTGCCATCGACTGGGAGCAAGGCAGAGCAGCAGGGCAGAGGAGACCCTGCAGAGAGCTCCACAGCCAGAGGCTCTGGGGCACAGGGGTGGCCCGTAACTGAGGTCAGCTCTACCCCGGCAGCCTCTGCTCGTGTCGCTGCAGGGCTGCTCTCATCGCCTGGGGCGTTCTCTCCGTTCTCGGCGGTGCCTTCGTCTGCGGGCAGAGCGCTGCCCTGGCCGTGCTGGGGCTGCTGCGCTGAGGGAGCACAGAGCCCCGTGGTGACCCCACCGTGACCCCCCTCAGCGTCCTGCCCCGGACAGATCCCCGAACACAGCCACACCACTGGATCCCATAGCGGTTTTATTTGGCATCACCGTCCCTGTTGTACAGTGGCTAATAAAGACAGGAGAGGGTATTGGCAAAGGTCCTGTGCCACACACCCTGAGGGACCCCCACGCACGGCAGGGTGGGTGTGGGATTGGCACAGACAGACAGACACACAGACGAAGTACAGACCCCAGGAAGGAGGGGAGGCAGCCACCCTCACGCCTACAAGGCACCAACTGCAACTGTGCACATGCAAAGGAAACCCCTAGGGACCCCCCATAGCTGGAAAGGACTAAGGGGCACCTTGGGAGAAGGGAAACCCCCCTCTGCCACCACCCTGACTTGCCCCTGGGGCACGGGTCCCCATCCCTGCAGGCACACACACACATACACACCAGGCACAGCCTCAACCCCCATCTCCTCCCGGTGTGGCCCCTGGGGACCTGCACAGAACCCAACCTACTCCCTGCTTTTGGGGGGGCTCCAGCCTCCCACCTCCCACTCCCATCCCTCCTTCCTAGTGCCTGCCTGCCTGCACCCGTTGCCCCCGCTCCCTGCCTACCTATGTCTGGGGGATGTCCCCCTCCCCAAACGCTGCCAGCCCCTCCCTGGCAGTCCTTTTTTCCCCTGAGACCACTCCACAGCAGGGAGAGATGCCCCAGGTGATGGGGTAGCTGAGGGAGGACTCTCTGGGGTGGGGGACACACACGTGGGAGTTTCCTTCACTGCAGCCAGGTCACACCGACAGGGCTGCCCCGCACAGGGGACAGGTGCTGGCAGGCTCCCAGCACCGACTGTCACTCTCGGCTCAGGGTGCACCAGGCAGCTGCAGGGGAACATCACTGGTGGGTCACACCTGCCCCGCCCCACGTCACCCTGAACCCCAGCCCAGCCAGCTCAGCCCATGCTGTCCTTCACACCATGCCACCTGCCCACCCTTGCTCCCCAACAAGTGAGGAGGTGCTGGCCGTCCCGGGGTCCCTGTCCCCCACCCTCTGGGGTGGCTGCCTTCCTACCTGGCACGGCCACGCTGGAGATGGCCTCAGGCTGGCTGAGCGTGTCCACCTTGACATGCTGGAAGCCCTTGCAGGTGGCACTCTGCAGGTGCCTGTGCCCAGGTGGGAGAGAGTGGGTGACACCCAGCCCTCCCAGAAACACCATCCCAGCCCCCCACAGCACCACAGGCCCTGGCAGGGCTGGGTGCCACCAATCCTGCTCACTTCCCCTTGTGCAGAGCACCCTGCTTGGTTCAGGACAATGACCCCTGTCATCACCACATCCAAAGGCACTCCCAGGTGGGAGGTCTAGAGAGACCCACCCCAACCCCCCTGTCCTGTTTACAGGGACAGCCCTAGGACAGACAGACAGACAACTCCTCAGTTCTGCTGTCAGACAGGGGACAGAGCTCGGGGCTCAGCTGCTCTAAAACCCCTCCACACCCAAGCAATGGGCTTTTTCATCCCCTCCCCTACCTCTTCCAGTCCTCCTCGGTCTCCCAGAACTCATAGACGATGAAGGTGACCCCGTCAGGCAGCTTCACCGCGGTGACACTGGCAGAAACAGGGAGAGGGGGAGAGCCCCCAGCATGGAGCATCCCTTTCCCCTCTGCAGCCACAGGTGTGCTCTCGGATGGGCTATCGAGGGGGGACCCAGCCCCAGCAGCCCAGGTAGGGGTAGCCCCCTCCCCCCCATCCCAGCACTACCCAGCCCACACAAAAGCAGTGTTGGTGGCTACATCCCAAATCCTGGCTGCTTTGCTTCAGTCCTTCACTTGGTCCTCACCCCAGCCCATGCCAAATCCCCATCTCCCTGGCCCCTGATGGGCAGCTGCTGGTGGTACCCACTGGAAGCAGTCCCGCTCCCCGGCCACGCTCTTCAGGTACTGCTTCAGGGAGCTGCAGAACTCGCCCAGGTGCTTGTGTGACACCGTCATCTCGTTCCTCACCAGGAGCAGGTACTGCCGGGCCCCCAAACACAGCATGTGAGACCCACAGAAACACAGTGACCCCCCAAATGTGGCTCTGTGCTGCAGGGGCACCCCAGCACCCATGGGTGGTGGTTGGGCACACTCACCGTGCAGGCCGTGCTCTCGCTGTCCGACAGCCGCTGGTGCAGGTCAAACCAGAGGGTCTGGGAAAAGGGCAATAAGCAACAGAGGGGGAGACGGATTGGCTGAGGCTGCGTGTCCCTCCCTGCTTGGTGGGTTTCTGTCCCCAGTATTTGCAATGACTGTGCCCCCTTCTCCACAGGGAACGGGCTCCACGTCCAGTCAGGACCCTTCACAAAAGTTCCCTCTTCTCCCATTACAGCCAACATCCCCAGCTGCACGTCCTCATCCCTGCCCCAAAACAGCTGGGGCAAGGTCCCTGAATTGTCCCTGGGATGGCAGGACAACACCACGCAGGGAAACACTGGCCCTTACCTTGTCCTCCAGCTTGCCAATCAGCTTGGCCAGCCTGTTGATCTGCCCCTCCAGCCCCTCTGCCTTGGTGTCAGGGGAACCTGCGCAGAGCCAGGAGACAGTGATGGAGTGAGGGGCACCTGCAGGCACCCCCTGAAAGCCCTGTGCTGCTGCTGGGACTTGAGTGCTCCAAGCCACCCCAGGCAGCCAGCACTTACCAGCCTGGAAGCTCTTTCCTTGCTCCCTGGGGACCATCCAGGTGGTGGGAGAGTAGCTGGGGACAGGGTTGTCATACCAGGTGTCGCTCAGGCCGTGACCATCCTTGCTGGGGCAGTGTCTGCAACCAGAGAGCACACTGGGTGTCAGGACAGCAGAGCTGGGCACACACAGAGTGGCGTGAGCCAGCCTGGGGAGCCAGCACTGGAGCATCCTTTCTGGCAGCCCTGCCCATGATGCCAGACCCCTTGGAGGGGGTCAGAAACAAAGGAATGTCAGTGGGCTGCTCCCAGCAGCCATCACTTTTATTTCCTGCTTATGGAACAGCACAGCCCTCCTGGCATCACCAGCAGCCTTCAAGGCCTTTTTCTGTCCTAGACAGACACCTGCAACATGGGGCATTCAGGCCCTTGTGCCCAGCCAGCTGCACCTTACTGGGGCTGGTTTTGCAGCCCAATGGCTTTGGTGGCTTTCAGACAGAAAAGCTGCTGCCACGCAGACTGCCCATGCCCGAATGGCTGCCCATGAGCAGAAGCTGTGTATCCCACTAACAAACTGCAGCTGCAGTTCTCCTGGAGAATGGAAACATCCACTGTAGCATTGCCTCCAACATGCTTTCTTTGTCTGGGTCTACAAAGCCCATTTGGTCTGGATGTTGCTCAAAGACCCAAAAAACTGTCCTGACACACTTCCACAGATGGAGCATCCATAAGCACCATCCAGCACCAGGTCCTCAATGGTCCTCCCAGGACCTTGTTTATTTGCAAGCCAGAGAGAATCAGAGATCTGCCATCCTCACAAGGGCTTGCAGCTGCCATCCATGTGAGTGACATGGGAATGGGTTTGGGGAAGAATGACCCTCTCCTTTCTTCTCCACCAAAAGGAAGCCTGTGCCACAGAGGGAGAGGCTGAGCAGCTCAAAGGATTTCCAGTGTTTCCTTCCAGCAAGAGCAGCTCTGTGCCAGCTGACTGCTGACAGAGGTGCCTGGGAGCCCTGGCTCCTCTTGGCACCTTTTGTTAGTCAAGCAGCTCCCAGCTGGAGACAATAAGCTGAGTGCCCTGGAGCCAATTGGCACCACACCAGCCAGCATCTCCCTACCCTCCTGTCCCTCCCCTGGCACCTGGCTCCTCCTAAGCACAATTGCTGGGCTATCTTTCCCCAGCTACCTTGTAAATCAGCCAGTGTGGGCTCCACCATATACACAGGGACATGGTGTGCAGGTCCCAAAGAACACCTCCAAGATAAGGAAGCAGGAACAACAATAAAGGGTGCAGGAGCATCCCTTTGCTACAGGCTGTGCAATTATACCACTGCTGGTCCTGGATTATCCCCTGTCAATAGACAGGAAATTAGGCAAAAACAGACAGAGATTTATTTTAATCAGAATTTAATGAGATGTCTCCATCTTGGGCCTCTGCCTTTGCACTTTGTTCTACAGCCCTTTATTTTCGTACTTTTTAGGCCACCTCTTTGTCTTCATGCGGATGCAGGAGATAATTTTTTGTGGGACTTGTTTTTCTTTTTAGCTATTATCTTCATGAGAAAACAACTACAATACTCCCCATTATGATCTGGGCCCACACATCAGCAAATAAAAGCCAGCAAAGTCTTTCATGGGCTCTAATTGCTCTGTCTGATGCTGGGTTTGTTTCCTTTTTATTGTTTTCCAGGAGCTCCTACTTCTTTTTGTACAAGGTTAGCCACAAAACAAAGAGAAGAAAGGGATGTGAGATGATGAAACCCACAGCATTCCTGCTGGAAAAGCTGCTGGGATGGTGGCAGAGCTGCTCAGGTCTCTCTGTGTTCCATAGAGGCTGTCTTAGGAGGGAGCTGGGATTTTCATTCTCCATGTGCCCCTCTGCCCGCCCATGGCTTTGGGAAGCCAAAACATCCCCATGCAGGCATCCCGAGGCTTCCTGGTTTGAAGGAACAGCAGGAGAAGGGTTGGTCTGACAAACAGACGGGTTTCCATGGCAACCTGTCCTGGTTAGAGCTGGTGACAGTGGCACTCTGGGGAGCTGCGTGACACTGACACCGAGGGGGCTGTGCTGAGGCTCTGCCTCTGCTGCTGGGATCTCCATACATCTTGAGATCATCCTTAAATCTTGAGACTCTCCTCTGTGCTGCCCAAGCTCAGTGGCATGTGCTGGGCTGCTGGCATGGGGACAGCCCTCACGACACCAGGGACAGCACTGCCTGTCCTCAGCGCACAGGTGCCTTTTCCCTCCGGATGGTTACAGGCACGGGAATCTGTCCCTGTGGGCTGTCCCCAGCTCACCTGAGGCAGGTGCCTGTGTTTTGCCCTGGGTGGGAGCGGTGGTTTGCTCAGAGCTGCAGCCCCGTGCACCCAGCGCTGCCCAGCCCGGTGCCAGGTGCTGCCCCTGGTTTGCATCCCCATGCACAGTTCTCTTCTTAAGGGTGACCCTGGGGACTGCAGGAGAGGAAGGGACAGGGCAGGACAGAGAGGTGG